TAGTGGTGATGGCAATGATGATGGATGATGGTGGTAGTGGTGATGGCAATGATAATGGAGGATGGTGGTAGTGGTGATGGCAATGATAATGGAGGATGGTGGTAGTGGTGATGGCAGTGATAATGGATGATGGTGTTAGTGGTGATGACAATGATAAATGGATGATGGTGGTAGTGGTGATGGCAATGATAATGGATGATGGTGGTAGTGGTGATGGGAATGATAATGGATGATGGTGGTAGTGGTGATGACAATGATAATGGATGATGGTGGTAGTGGTGATGGCAATGATAATGGATGATGGTGGTAGTGGTGATGGCAATGATAATGGAGGATGGTTGTAGTGGTGATGGCAATGATAATGGAGGATGGTGGTAGTGGTGATGGCAATGATAATGGAAATGATGATGGCTGTGATGATGGCAGTGATAATATGGATGGTGATGGCAATGATAACAGAAATGATGATGGCTGTGATGATGACAGTGATAATGAGGATGATGATGGCAGTGATAATATGGATGATGATGGCAGTGGTGATGGCAATGATAACAGAAATGATGATGGCTGTGATGAGGACAGTGATAATGAGGATGATGATGGCAGTGATAATATGGATGATGATGGCAGTGGTGATGGCAATGATAACAGAAATGATGATGGCTGTGATAATGAGGATGATGATGGCAGTGATAATGTCTATGATGATGGCAATGGTGATGGCAATGATAATGGTAGTACTAATAATAAACAGTATTGTTGATGATTGTGATGATGGTGGTTGTAATGGGGATAGTGAAATGATTGGATCATTGCCTCTGTACACCATGAGTTGTCTTCATAAACTTAATGCATTTTTAATTTTATATTTTCCCAGGAAATATGGATTTATTGGTATAACGTGTACAATACTGCTCATAGTGATGTTCAACATTGGTGGTATGGCAATGGGTACCTTTACGTACAAACAAGGTTCCCCAATGGATCGTTCCAAATGCTCCAATGCTGGTGGTAACGTACTGATGTGGTAAGTATGCTTTTATTTATTTATTTATATATTACAAATTTGTACTTGTTTATTTTAAAATTATTCCACATCCTTTAACGTAGGCCATTATGTATTTCGTCACCGTTTTCATAAAATACATCGAAATTTTAACTATTTTTGACATATGTTTTTGACAAAAATAAAGCATTAAGCAATTAAAATGTTCAATTTATTTTTCTTTTCTTAACTTTAATTAACCTGTTGATTAGCATGCAAAGTTTGTGTCATAAAAACAATAAAAGTAAACCCAGCATAGGTTGTTTACATGTAAAGCAAAGTTTGTGCCTCTTCGTGGAAACAAAAATCTCATTTTATGCACTGTACACACTCCGATATTTTGATGCATGTGTATAGGCCTATTCCAAGTTATACTGCAAGGAGGGTACTGCTATGCCTAGGAAAGTTATGGAATCTAATCTTCACATCTAGCCCTACCCTGCCAGGCCTAAACTAGCCAATCACAACGATTGCAACGCTGCACACACGTCTTCTGATAACCCACTGAAAGTTTGTGTGCTATGGCTAATTTGCCTAATTAACTTAGAAGTATAGTTGCACACTTAATAATTATGTGAAATGGTAGAGTATGATGTACATAATGAAAATGTAAAAAAAAAAAATTGAAAAAATATTATCATGGTGTCAGTGACATTTTATAGTATTAACATCTCTGAATTACTGTCTTGAAAGTTTCAACAAGATGAAGGTGTATGCCTATCCAGCTTAAATTTTTGTAATTTTGGACAATATTATAATTGGCTCTTTTCCTTTCAGCGGTGTCTTCTTTTCCTTTGTATTCTTTTGGTTTCTTATGTTGATTGTGAGTGTGTTGTTCCTGGTCTTCAGTGTGAGTTATCAAGTTTGTGAACCACTGCAGACAAAAGATATATTTAAAGAGGTAGGAGTAATGTTCTATGAATATTCATACATGTACTTTGCATATTATTAGTAAGGCATCTAAATATATGAATAATCAAATAATGGTAGAAACAGTGTTGGATTAGAGGAATAGTAATGTAAAGATGGTATCGGGCATTGCCTATCAACCAAAAAGTGCCCTCGGTGGAAATCAAACCTGCAATCTCTCTCTGTCAAGGTGAGTGTCATACCACTTGATCACAAGGGCTGCTGGTACATCGCAGATACAATCCAATCAAGACACTTCCTCACAAAGTTGAGCTGAGGTGAGGTAAGTTGATTAGTACTACATTATTACCACTATGAATCGAAATGTTTTTTTTTTTTTTATTTGTCAGACAATTGACCAGCCTGGCTTCCTGTGTGATGGAGATACTGGCTCATGGCTTGGTGATGTAATATATGGCAACCAATCCTACAACATAACAGTCACTGGCATCTTGGAAAGTTGTGCAAAGAATGAAAGTGCCTACAAAGCCTTACAGTTACATTATGTGTTTGATTTGGATGATATTCAGAAAGTAAGAGATGTTGTGTATACATTAGATTATGCATTCACTACTCTGACACATGTTAATTACTGTATAATAATGAACTGTACTCAATGGGGGGGGGGTTATCATGCGTGTAACCTGCGCGTGGTGACCCTCCTACGACTGTTCCAGTCAACTGATAGCGCCAACTAGAATCCATTATTTGCGATTATTCGCTAAAGGAAGCTACATCAACACCTGTGTAGCTTCTGTGATTATGAATCCACATGATCGAATGAACTCAATATGACTGGTACCTTTTTTCTGTATTCTCTCTTTAGGAAGACATTGATTAAGCATCTTCACCTTTAATTAACTGAATATGATAGGCCTACTTTAAGCATTTACTTTCACATTGTGGTTACCATCTTTCTGACCAAATGCATGGGATGGTCATAGTTGAAAATTAGGCCTACACATATAGTAAATACCCTGGATTTAAAAAGTAATTTTGCAACACAGTTTTTGTGTTGGCATAATAATTATCACTTCCACCAGAACGTGAACTTACTTTATTAAAGATCGTCAGAGGAGGGTGAGAAAAAATAAAAACAAAATTTTGGTTTTCCATTTAGCAAATATTTTTGCCAAAAACATCCAGACGAAAGGAGAAAATAAAAAATATAAAATGTTATTGTGGAATTTGAACAGTGCAGTAATGGGATGGTTAAATTCTTTAAATTTATGTAATTAAGAAGAAATATACTTATCTTATCTTTTGAGGCAGCGGCGGGGGTTAAAAAATTAAGGAAAAAATGAAATTTCCATTTTTTTTTGTAGCGACGGGTGGGCTAATTGCCCGAAAATAGAATTTTATTTTTATTCAAAATCACCATTATTGGTGGGCGGTGATTTCGCTAAACAAGATAAACAAAAAGTCTTGCCTTGCCTCCTTTGGCTAAACTGGTGAAATTCGCTGTGTGTGCTTCACAGAGCAGTGCCAGCAGTGAGATCAGAAGGGGAAATCCAAGTCATCCCCCTAACCCCTTCATCAACATCATTGTTATATTTCCTTTGAATTTAATTAGCTGATTATTTATCTGTCACAGGAAATTGATGATCTAAATGAAGAGGTGAACAAGTTGATAGATGAGGTGGACTGGGACACGAGTGATTTTGAACTGGTTACAGATGAACTTATGGACTCAGTAAATCAAATCATTGCAGATTCCAGCTTAGCTGAATTTAATATTTCAGAATATGAAGAAATAGTAAGTATACAGCTAATAATGTAACATCTAGATGATGTTGAAGATTCTGTTTTTTTTTTTGTTTTTTTTTTGTGTTTTTTAATAGTCTAATAATTTTGGTATTTCTTTGATCATGTTTATGTGATTTTTGTGTAATCAGATCTTCATTTGACAAGGTCAGAGACATTGGACAAGGTCAGAGACAGTTACAGCCTGGTACTCGCTGCATTGTACCACATTTGCGCTCTCTGTGAGCGCTAGAATACGCAACGCTTTCTGCTGATTAGCAGTGCAGTCTAAACAGATCGTGATTAAAAACGATTTGTTACGTGCCCATCGTCACATTGTGTTCTTCATTAGGCCTATTCTTCTTTGTGTTTTTTTAATGTCTGTATTTATATAATGTTTGAATGACCTTTGAATGATTAATATGTAATTTCCTTTAGGAAAATTATATGAATTTTGATTCTGAACCTAATATGATAGTAAAATTATATGATTATAATTCTAGTAGAAATTGATAATTTTGTTATCATAAATCATCTTTTTATTTTTCTCAGCTCAACCAAACCTTGACAAATGATCTGGTAACTTTTGCCAATAGCTTGAATCAAACTGCAGATAATCTTACGGTGAATAATTTGTTTGTTATAATTTGTTACTGAACACAATAAGCTCATGAATTTAATTCATTTCAATTTAATTGAATTAATCATCAAAAACTACCAAAATGGTAAAGCAGACACAGACTAAGATTCATGAAGTAAGCATGTATGTATACATACATGTATTTTATTCAAGAAAGTAATAATTTAGTAAATTTAAAATGTGCCTTATTACTTATTGATAAAAGGCCCTAAGAAAATTGAGAATTATATGAATAAATAATCATTCAGGGATTGAAAACTATTACACCAAAGCTAAGATAGCAGCATTTTAGAGTTCATGAGTGTTTGGAGATTTTCTTATATGAAGAGAAAGGACGTACAGAGCGAGTGAGCAGCAGATGGATGAAGATTTTTCTTTAAGGGGTAGGGGAAAGAATAAACAAGGAGGAGTGGAGGGAGTGAAAAGGAGTAGTATAAGATTGAAAAAAGGGGGGATATTCTGTGAGAGAAGTATTTGGAAGGGTTGCAAAGAGAATGTGGAGTATATTTGAGAAGAAAGTCAAGCTTTTGATTTTGTTTTTCATTTTTGTTTTACAGGATCCAACTCTCAAGAATGAGCTGTACCATATATCTTATGAGATCATTTTAGTTGATGAACAAGCCAAAGCAACTGAAGTTAAAATGGTAAATATTTAAAAACATATAACTTAAAGGGGAAATAAATGATATTCTGCTGATTTATTTTTGGCAGTTCAGTACCTAAATGTTTGTGGGGAACCCCACAAAAATGCAATTAAAACATTTAATAACTCTTAAATGTAACAAAGAATTTTTGCAAAGAATACTTTAGGAATGGTATTATTTTTTTAAGCATCCTTTAATTACCTCCGCCAAGCAGCTTTTGTATTCATCACTGTCTGTCTGTTAGCAATTTTAAGGAATGGGTCATAACATTTAGTGGAATGGTACATAATAATCTTAAGAAAGAGATGATTTACTTTTAAAGGGGTTAAGGTCATTGTAATTAAATTTTTCCTTCATTTTATTCTTGACCTTTTAAAAGAAAATGAAGGAATCGCCCATACACGGCCTATGCCTTATTGTTCAGTATCCATGCACAGGGCCGATGTATGCACTTTATGTGGTGACTGCTGTTATTGCTATGAAATTATTTTTTTAGATAATTTCAAATGGATATTAATAACTTACATAAAGTAAGCAATTACAGTATTGAACTTTATTAACTCAACACAGACTCTGTATCTTTGATTGATTGCTTGATTGACTAATTGATTAGTTAATTGATTAATCGATTAGTTAATTGATTATTTGGTTGGTTGATTGATTGTTTGATTGATTGATTGATTGACTGACTGACTGATTGGTTTATTCGCGGGGTGGATCCAGTAGGGGTACACCCCCCCCCATTTTTGCCGCTAAATTTTAGAATTTCAAGGCATATATTGAAATTAGCGCTCCCACTTATCTATTCTAAATGTGTTGTTCCCCCGGGCCCCGTTTGAAACATTCTGGATCCGCCCCTGTTAAGTTGATTCCTTGATTTATATTATATTTAGGCACATGGGCCAAGGAATATAAATAGCAAAATAATGATAATTAGAGATGACTTATAATACTTAGAGATAACAATTATAGATGACTTATAATACTAATGATAATTAGAGATGACTTGTAAAAACTTAAATAACAGTCAATTTGCACCTACGCAATATTGCTAACATCAGGAAATATTTCTCTAAGCACACTACTACCACTTTAATCCATGCCTCTGTCACTTCTCATCTTGATTATTGTAACTCTCTTTTCTCTGCACTACCTTTAGGCTCAGCCGCACATATTCTAACACTTACCATTAGACGATCGTACATATCTCCCATTATCTATAATTTGCATTGGCTTCCAATTAATTCACGAATAAAGTATAAAATTCTGCTACTAACTTTGAAAGCACTGTGACTCCAACAGCCCTCTTACCTATTCAAACTCCTTCCAAAATATGACTCCTTATCCTCCCTCCGTTCTTCTGACCTTAATTTGCTCATTGTTCCAAGAGTTAACACCAAATCCTACGGCCACAGATCATTTTTATTTTCAGCTACCACACTTTGGAACTCCCTCCCAAAACATATTACCGACTCACCTATTTTTAAAACCAAACTCAAAACCCACCTTTTTAACATCTGAACATGCACAGCGCCTTTGATTTTTTACTTCAGTTTAGTGATATTGGCGCTTTATAAATTATTATTATTAATATTATACATAATTATAATTATTTTTTCATAGAATGATTTGTTACAAGAAGCAGAAACTTTACAGGTGCAAATCACTGCAATTCAAGACACTGGAAGCAAGACAATTAAAGCAGCAAATTATACCGAGAATCAGATTAAAAAAGATTCAACACAAGATGCAGTGAAGAATAGCACCAAGGAGTATGCAGCTAAACTCATTCGCTACACAGAGAGCTATGTTAATCACCTAACCATGGAGGTATTTAGGAAAATATTTCATTCTTACTCAATACCTATTTTGCATTTTCATGATGGAAGTGATATTTTATTGTGTTTCATTAGGACTAGGGATATGAGCTGCGCTTACGACTTAAGGACAGCATAGCTCATTTGGTTAAACTGGTGGTAGCCACCTCTCACAATTAGAATTGTGCAATTTGATACATACCTATAATACAATTTTACTTGCAGAATTCTTATATAGAGTAATACAAACTCCAAGAAATGGGATATATGACATTGTTTTTTGATTCAATATTTTGACATTATTTCATCTTCAAGGAATAAATGAAATTGCTAAGGAATGAGAAAGAGGTAACCTTACTCAGGTGAAGTTGATGACTAGGCTTTGTTATAAGCCCAGGTGGCCTTTTTTTGCAGATTTTAATACATTTTAGGCTCCTCCTGTGCCAATTTGATGGTTAGGATACTTGACAAGGTTCCCCTTGGATCTAAATTTGGGTGAAAGGCAGTTTTGTTTTTCTAAACCATTGAAAAGATTCACTCCTCTTGGGCATTAGAATGAGGTATTACAAATACCAGGCTTGCCACTTTACATTATCTCGATTATCGAATTTCTAATGAGATAGCGCCCTGTGTTTTTGCTTAGCTTCTTTTTTTTTTCGGCCCCATCAAGGACTGGCATGAGAAAATGATTTTTGAGCGGGTCTAAATCATGACAAGATATGTGTTGGGATGCAGTGGAGGGTCTGCCTGTTGGTGTGCATGTACAGTGAAATATTGCACTAAACCGTGGTTTATATGTATGTTGAAGGGGTGGTGTGTTTGTTGTTTGAGTATAATGAACTTAAGGAGCATAAGGCTCCAATACATACAAGAGAATTTTTTTATACTTTTATCAATCAGTATCTACTGTTAATTATAATATTTTAGAATATAGTCGTAAAAAAGTTTATCAAAATAATACAAAAATATTTTTCAGATTGAAGATGAGTTGGCACCATGTGGGTCGATCAGCAACCTGTACGATCTGTTTGTTGGAACTTTATGCGATTTTAATATTGATGCCTGGGTAAGACAAATTTAAATATTAATACCATTTTAATATCGAGTCCTGTGTAAGACACTTTTATATTGATCCATGAAGACTCTTTAATATTGATTGGTTTAGAAGGATGGCTTCAGTCTAAGCAAGGTGCTTACTTTAAAATTCTGTATTGTTTGTAATGCGATTTTAAATTATTTAATTATTTTGTGCGGGAATATATTTTATGTTTAGTTTATTAGAAAAAAACCCAATTATAATCTTTCCTTTACAGAACACAATTTGGTTCACCCTGGGCTGGAGTATTTTCTTCTTTATACCAAGCATCATATTTGCTGTTAAACTTGCAAAATATTATCGCATAATGAAGGATGAATATATTGCGGTTCCTAAGCCAAAGAAGAAGAAAAAGAACAAGAAACAACGGGACGTAGAGTCCCCTGAAGAGGATGAAATGGGTAAATATGAGGGACATCATGCGTAGTTACTATATAATCCCATAATGCTTTGCTTCTATTAATTATAGTGCTGGCTTGTTCCCCTTAGTCAAAAAGCATTTTTTTTTTTGGCTCATTGTGAAATACTCAAATATTATTATTCAAATTACAAATTTTTATTTTTCATATTATGTATTATATTTTATATGTATTGTATTAATTTGATTGCAAATCATTATAACATTCACTTTTTTAAATGGTGCCACCCCAATATATTCATGTTAACACACCTTCATATAACACAAAAATGGTAAATCTGAATGCTTGGGCTATATATTCAATTTTCATGAAGGAAATTTAAGATTATTCATTATTTAATGTTAACAATATTGAAGCCATTAATATTATAAAAAAATATAGGTTTTATATTAAGCAAACAACAATTGCGAAAGGCTGAACTTGGAAGAGAGGGTGATAGGTCTAATGGCTTGACTAAGAAAAGGCCCAAAGGAGAAGAGAATGGTGCATTTATGAATAGTTGAGATCATTTTAGTCTTTTGGACCACTTTCCCTGTGTTTCAGCTGTAGGGCCGAAATGCAAGTTACAGTGGCGCACTGTCTTTCAAGAGAGACATTGGTACTATGCGCATTAAAGGATGCGGTACACTATTTAGAAGAATTATAATATTTGAACATTAAATTTAAGGGTATGATAAATAAATATAATACACTACATGAGTAATAAACAAGGGAAAAAAATGTTCATAGTAATATTGGATAATAATTGATAATAAATTTCTTCATAAAGTCATTAATTAAAGATAATCAAGTACTTATTTCTGATGGGTTTTTTTGATATATTTTGATCATAATTTTTTTCACCGATTGATTTTGTTTTTATTATCGCATTTGTTTTCATTTTGTAGAATGCTTTCTTTAATTATATTTTTTGTTTCAGTTTTTTAGTTGCTTTCACCAAAGAGTATAAATAGAACAAGAGAGCCAACAACGCTCATTGAGAGCGTAAAAAAAACGATACGCCCTACGCACCTAGTGTAGGACACCAACTAACGCTTGTATGTTTTTTATTACCCAGTACTCCACCGCGCACGGTCGGTTTGTCTGTTTATCTGTTCTCCACAAGATACTGTACTGTTTTCTGCCTACTGAGTTTATAGCGGGCGTACTTCTACCGCGCTGCACAGCGCTGCACTGGGTAATAAAAGGAACATACAACCGTTAGTGGGCGTCCTACACAGGCGTGACGTTTTTACGAACGGGACTTTGCTCTCTTGTTCTATTTATACTCTTTGCTTTCACTCCCACCTGTTAAGCTGTGTCCACACTATCAAATTTTAATTGACAAATTTGTGAGATGTCCCCATATATGGGCATGATACCTCCAAATATGGGCATCATGCATCCAAATATGGGCATCATGCATCCAAATATGGGCATCATGCATCCAAATAAGGGCATCATGCATCCAAATATGGGCATCATGCATCCAAATATGGGCATGCCTCCAAATATGGGCATGATGCATCCAAATATGGGCATGATGCATCCATATATGGGCATGATGCATCCAAATATGGGCATGATGCATCCAAATATCTGCATATCACATTTGATAGTCTGGACAGAGCTTTAAGGTTGCACCTGTATCAATATGTAAATGCACTGTAGAAAATTATTGGTCTCCTGTCTTTGATGGAATTGTAACTTAGCCAGACTTGATAAACATCACTCCAAAAAGAACATCAACTGCTTCATTAACCCTGTGTTCTAGTGAACCTGTGATAAGGCCTTAAAAATCACAAATTGGCAAATTGTAAAAATCAGTAACGATTTGATTTTGGGTTAGCAGATCACTAAAACGTATTTTACGGCAAATCACAGGCTCAATGGAACACAGCTTAATTGTCTGACATTTGTTTGAAAAAAATGTAATTTTTTTTGGGTGTTTATTGTCTTCGTCAAAGCAATGATGCGTAACATTTGGTCCACTTTTCTCTCATTCCATCCAGTCCCTCTAACACACCCTCATCTCTAAAAGGTGAATATTTTGAATTATTGTTTTGTGAATGTGTTTGTGATTGGTGTGTAGAATGCACTTCATGGATATTCTTAAGCTCTTTTACACTATCAAATTTCTTTGACAAAAAAAAAAACTTGTATGCCCATATATAGTCATGATGTGCCTATATATGGTCATGATGTGATGTCATTATGACCATATTTAGGTATGTCACATGTTTTTGTCAAATAATATTGGATAGTGTGAGTAGGGCTTTAAAAGCTATGTTTTTTGCTGATTTTTGCAGACTATACTCCCAACATCTCATATCTTTGTCATGGCCTGCTTTTATTACCATGCACAGCATATACACTAAAAACATAAAAAATTAATAATTCATTCTATTAAATCCAATTTTTATATTAGTCAACAATTTTATAAAATTTTTACCCAGAGAAATGAATAAATATTCATGTAAGTTTCGTAACCCTCCAGTTACGAAAATGATAATTTAACAAATTGTTACTAATTACAAATTTGAATGGCCACCTGTTTTAACTGTATGTTTCTGGATTGAGCATGTCAGTAACAAAATTATGAGTTGTGAAGTCTGAAAGATCAGGCCATTGAAATTGCCCGCCTTTATAATAAAATTGCATGATTTGCCTGCTTGTTAATCACATGACCTTAATTGCACGGTGCACAGTCTTCGACTTGGACGTGTTTTACCCATGAATTTGAAAATTTTTACTGCATTTTTTGATAATCAATTTGGTTTTAAACAAAAACTTACCTTTATTATTGGATGTAAAACTTAGCATTCATTGAAAATAACAGTAATTTTTACATAATTTTCATTTTTCAATTAAATGTAATAAAAAAAAAAGTCAAATTTAATACAGAATTAGTTTCATTTGCACTCAAAATTAATTTTCACTCCCCAAAGAAATAGTGCAAATAACATAACAATTATTATTATCATTATTATTTTTATTGTTATTTGAATTATTATTAGTGTTATTATTATTACTGTTTCAGTTATTTTTATTATTATTTTTAATACCCTTTGATATTATATTTTCTTATTTACACAAATATTAATATTATATATGTTTATTGTTACTCTTAAATATATTATTATACTATTTTCATTATATTCATTATTTTGGGTTTCAATAATAATATTGATTTCAAAAATTAGTAATGGTTTCCCCATCAAAGGTTTTTGCTGATATAATTTACCTCCAGTTCTGTGAATATAATGGAGACTGAAGGTGTACAGAATGTAGGTTGTGTTGTGTAACCTTTGTCCATGCTACAATCTAGAAAACAAATAGGGGGCTTTCGATTGCACGACGACGGTAGGACGTTGAGCGTAATGACGTCACTAAAAGTAATCTGCGTATGCGAGAACATTGTGGTCACCTCGTCGAGTGGATTCTGGAACGCAATTTGGCCAAATCTATGTATGCAGAGAACATAGGACGCCAGGTAGGATGGTCACGCATGAGTGATTCCGCTCTTGCGTCGCGTCGTCACACAAATCGAAAGCTCCCTAATGTGAGGACAACGACCTACCAAAATGTTCAGGGAGCTGTTGGCAAAGTGTATACATTGGCAAAACTACTAATCCTTGATATTTTTACCATTACAAATTTTTAAAATAATAATAATAATAATAATAATTATTATTATTATTGTTATTGTTATTGTTATTGTTATTGTTATTATTATTATTAATTTTATCTCTAAAGATAACCCTTATAATTTTATTGTGTGAGCAATTAACAGCTTTCTTGATGTCTGAATTCTTTAATATTAACATAATTCAGGGAATTCTTTAACAACTTTAATCAGGGAATTCTCGAGTAGGTTTTTTTATGTGAGGTGATGGCTTTATTTACTCTACATGTGTGCGGTGTGATTTCAGGGGCAGATAGCATACAACTGATGGAGAACAGTCGACGCGGGGCAACTAACAAGGATGTAACGCCATATGCCAACCCCCATTACAGACATGGTACAGTCCTTTGCACTTACACATTTTCTATTCTATAATTTGCAATCTGCGCACCTGTTATTAAATGAGGTGTTGGTAGACTAACTTGTTGTTTAAATGTTTGTTGTTAACCATGTATAGTCACTTCTTTAGCACATTTATGGCATAATTGACACACTTTTATAGCTGTGTGGCAATTTTAACATTGTGGCAGTGATTTGATGCTACTGTACTTAAAGACACATAGTGTCATCTCACATACAGCAACTTCACCTGCCCAATGTTGGAGTATTGTACATTGTATTGGCCACATGTGTTTATAAATATTTTTAAAATTTATTAATTCTTTTATTGAGTGTCCTGCCTTCAGTGAAAGCATGATAATTTCTAGTTTAAAGCCGGGCATGCACTTGGTTACCGACTGTCGCCTGGCACAGCCTCTTCTCTCTGAGCACTTGACGAGGTGATGCTGATTGTCAGTTGCTTTCTGAGTGGATCATTAAATTGTTTGTGTTGCATTCTCCATGTAATAGACCCATTCTACTAGATTGGTCATGTGACGTATAGTGGGTATCAATTGTAAACATGCAGCGCGAGTGATACTCAGTAATAGGAAAACATGTGTTTCTGCTGTAAAGCACCAATTTATAATGTTGAATAATGTTGCTTGGAATGCCAGTAAACTGTGCCAAGTTGGATGGAACTTGGGAATTTTGCCATAATGGTTTGCTATGCTCAAATGATAATGGCCCCAAATATTGAGATTTTTCGAGGAATGCTAGGCCTAGGCCCCTGCATATCTACTGCCTGTTTAGGTATACAAAAGATCACATAAATTCCAAAGCATAAAAAGCAGAGATTAACACTAGATTAAGTAAATAAACAATATTTTGAACAATCGTAGTGCCTTTCCTTGCCATTTATTCCTTGCGTTAATGGTGGGCCGTTGTTTTCGAAACCATAACATTACCTTTCCTATACTTCAACACTGATCACATTGTAAATTATCCGTAGTTATCCCCACTAAATATCACGTGACTGGCTATAAACAAACCTTGCAGAATGGGTCTATTATGTTGGCCGACAATCATAGCGATGTATTGTGTGTTCTTCCACAAAATGGAGAATACTGTAGAAGGCAACATAAAGTTAACTGTAGGTCCTTGTACACAATTTCTACTCAGCAAATTCTAAATTACCAAAAACAAAGTCTTAACAAAATACAATTCAATACAAATTATATATACAATTATTAATTAATTCTGCACAAATTATGATAATGTTAAAGTCCAACAATTTGTGCGTTTTGGCTGCAATTACTAAAATGCTGGAATCATCTTTATGTTTGTTGCAGCAATTCTCTGAACTTTTACCCTCATGGTTATGAGTTTGAGCTTGATACTGGTCACATTACGTTTTTTGTTTTTTTTTCAAATCATAGTTCAACTTAAACTAGAATTTCACCGAGAGTAATCTAAAATATCATGAAGTGTTTCTATCAATAACTAAATGTGTTGCACGTAAAAAGATAGCCAGTTACAGATATTTAAATGTTTTTTTACTCAGTAGGAGAGAAGTACAATTGTTATAAAAAATTATAGAAGAGAAGGAAACAGAATATTGTCACACCCACACTGTAGCCCCTTTCAAATAGACGTTGCCGCAATATTGCGGTGAACATGCCGGCATAATAATCAGTGTATACCCTTTCACATAGTGCTTATATTACTGCAATATTGCGGTAATCTTATGCTTTTCTGTCTGAAAGTGTCCTATAGAATGGCGTAACATTGGTGGCTTAAATACCACCGCGCAATTGTTTTCAACTTCGACCTTGTTTGTTTATGCATATTGAGTAGACCATTTTAGGCAAAGCAAGCCAGTATCTGTTACCGCAATATTGCGGAAATATTATTAGGGTGCAAGGTGGCCTAAAGTAAGCTGGCATATTAGCGTATGGACCCTTTCAGACAGAAACTCATGCCAGCTTGCTTACCGCAATATTGCGGTATTGCAGCTCTGTCTGAAAGGGACTAAAGATGCTTTCACAACTAATCTTCTTCAATAGGTAGTTTTCGCCGCACGACGTTAACCTTAACGTTAACGGATGACGTTATAATTTATTCATCTTGCATTGCGGAGTATGTTAATTTCAGGATTTTACGTGCTTGACGTACGTTAGTTACGGGTTTGCACATGCATATTTCGATTTGTTTACAAAAGGGGCAGAGTTATCGTATTGCATGTTGGGTCCTAACGTTAAAGTTAACGTCGTGTGACAAAAACTACCTAATAATTGGCCTAAAATAGCTAGTATAACGTTCAACTGTAACTAGAAAAGCTAGTCATTAACTTAAAGTAATTGTTGTGAAATGGATTAAAATGTCATGATATATATACAAATTTCTACTTTTTTATATAAGAATATTGCAATTTGATTTTGCAAGGGAAGCCAGTTCTATTTGTAACCCTCTGATGAAATTGTTTGGATTAACAAGATTAAGTTGTGTAAAGTTGTGTGTTTATCAGGACTTAAGCTGAAGCTTATTGGTTAAGGTGCTTACCTTCTAGTGCCGGGATCATGTGAACACCAACATTTTTTCTAAGACTTATACTGACACTGAGGTTTATAAAGGATAATGAAGTCCGGTCCAATAAGTGTAAAGCATTCACAGTTTAATGAAATAACATTTTTAAAATTCCGATACTGTGAAGTGCTGCCTATGGGGTCATTCCGGCTCAAATCAGCCAGAAATCTAAAAGTTCCCATGTGACCCCCCTCCCCCCTTGAATTTTCCTTTAAAAAATACCTTGATATGTCAAAAGAAAGAATAAAAAATTTCAGCTTCAATTATCTTGCAGTTTTTAAGTCATAACCTTTTGAAATTTAGGTACCATCCCATTTTTTCATGCCAGTAATGGCTTCTTTAACTTTTGTATGGTTTTTATGATGCTATATGTCCTGGAATAACAAAGATAAAAAGTTGAAAATTGCTGCATAGACTGAAAGTTTTCCCCTCCTTCAAGCTGGGATGGCACATGGGCATGGTGGTTGATTTGAGCCAGAATGACCCTATGTTATTTAATTTGTTTTATGTCTTTGACTTTTTAATAAGTACAGCATATCTTTTAATATATGCTATTTTATCTACAGTATTAGCTTGCCTACACTTTTGGGTTATCTATCACCAATATAATAATAATGGTTGACAATTGCTTAATATATCAAAGTACTGTATAATATTTCTCATATTTGCATGGGCAACGTTGCATTCTATATTTAAAGAAAGAAGGACAAAATAAGTTATATATAATAGCATGGCAATGTATAAAACACATAGCATTATGTTTAAACTGAAGTTGGAATGAAGCTGTAGCTAGGGCTAGGTGGAATTTTACTAAGTAAATTCACTCCCTAAAAACTTTATAATTAAACTTAGTTCATAAAGCATTGTTCCAACCTGTAGGATGTGAAGAAAATATAAGAAAATTGTCAAATACCCCATCTGCAATCTTTTTTCATACCTAGTCATTAATAACTAATATTAGATTATTGATCATATACCAGCGTAAATAATATACAAGCACACTAAATTTCAATATTACAAACTAATTGAATAATTATTATATGTTAATACACATAATTTGAATGAAAAATAATTTAATTAATGGCTTTATAAGATGTTAACATAATAGATTGAAAGTGTTTTTTTTAGAGGCCATTTACTATTTGTTTCAGAGTGTTAAGTAGTCATTTGAGTCTGTCAGCAAACAATGTTTGATCAGACTAAAAAGTAAAGTAAGGCCATTACATATTTTGAACTGTGTATGCCTGTATCCAAGGTAGTAAAGTTTAATCGACATAAACCTATGTTGGTTGTGTGTATATTTGTTTATGTCGATAGACCTTGGTACGTGCATGAGCAGTTGGCCGGAAAAGGCATTCTCAGACTTCTGAATATACAGTGATTTCCTTTTTCCTCCATTTTAAATATAATTTTTGAAAACTTTAGTTAGGGCCACTGAGCTGGGTTCCCTCTCCCCTCCTCCCACCTCATTTGTTTCATCAATTATTTTTGAAACAAACTTCACCCTATGCATACCAGGTGTGCAAAGTCTCACAAACAAAAATCTTGTAGTGTACCTATCATGTAGGATGTTTGCTTGCATATACTAATGTATGCTGTATTTAATTTTGATATATTTTTAATTGTTTTCAGATTCACCAATTCTCGGCTATAATGATTTAGGTGATCGGGGAGTACCGCCGCCAGCCTACAATTATGGTGAGCATTATAACATATCTCCTCACACCGATTACTTCTAGTTTCAACAACAATTATGTCTTTCATGAAGGTCATTTGTTATTATGTTTCGATTGACATGTTCTTTGCGGTTGTATCTGAGGTTACGACTTTTGATAAAATTTACTTACAAATAACTTTTTGCTAACACTTAACTTTGATCCTCATCGACGATGTATAAAATCAATATCATAATTAATGTTCATATTTTTTAATAAATAACAATAACAAAAAAACTATACATCTAATAGTTATGAAATAATTTGCATAATTAATACTGGAATTAAATGTACACATTTACTATTGCTACTTAGATCAGACTTGTAAAATTCTGGTTTCAGCACCTAATGTACATCTACTTTATCTACTTACCTATGCTTTATTCTTTACTGATCATCTTTATTTACTTTAAATCTTACTGTTAGGTATATTGTGCTGTAATTTTGTAAATAATTAATAGTGTGTGTTGACACGTATGAACTTGGACCAATTCAGCCCTAAATGCAATGATATCAACCTTGTACCTTGTAGCAAGTTGATGTTTTCCAACTTGCTATATTCCCTCCCCGTCCTATCCTCTCCCCGTCCTATACCTTCCCCATCATTTCCCTCCCCAGCTGAATAACCAGGGGGCTGAGTTGGTTTCAAGTGATATGGGGATGTATTAGTTCATTATATTATAGTGTGGTAAATAAAAGGTATTAAATCCAGTATTAATGACTGGATATTGTGTGTATTTATTTTCTCAGAGGTAAAAAGTGCTACAAACTGATATTGGTTTGCAAATTTTGTTGTATGAGATTAGTTAATTGATTGATTAAATGATTAATTACAAATAAATTATTATTTTAGGCTACTAAGTGTGCTGTTATTGTTGGTTTTCAAAGAAAGTTGTGATTTTTTAAGGATGTGTGCTTCACTAGAATTAAGTGTAATAGTGACAAAAAACATGTCATGTCTGAATTTAAGATAAATTATTGCAGATTAAGAAACTAAAAAAGAAGTCATTGTTTAAAAAATTGCTTGTGTTATGAGACAAGCCTTCTTTGTTTTTATTATTAAATAAATTGCAGATTTATTTCATCAAATAATAATTATTTTAATATTAAATAATTTAGATTTATAACCCAACTGGGTGTTATTAAATAGTGTATTAATTTTTCATTTGGTGCTGATTTTTAAATATGTTGAGAGTAATAAAAAAAAATCTAGATATTTTTGTCTTTCTGAATACTTAAACCTACGCAGATGTAACCTAGTTCTTTTCATTTATTATCGTTTATTAATTTAAAAAGCAGTAATGTATTTTTTTAAACCTTGAAATCTGTATTGTATTTTTAATATTTACTAATTGATGTTAAAATGCTGCAGTTACACTTAGCATCATAGTTGACAAAATAATACAAAATCAAGAAAAGTATATTATTTAAACCATTACTTATTTATATTAATCATTATTATTCAAATTCTTCAATTCTTTATTTAACTAATTAAAATTGTCAAGTTTAATGCATACATCAATTAATGCATTTAGTATAACAAAAACGAAACAGATAAGACATTTTTGTGTGTCATAAATGATATCCAGAATTATTAGTCAAATAATGGATATTGTATTAATAATAGATTTATTTATAAAGCACAAATAATTAAGGCTTGGTGTACAGTATTATAAACTTCAGAAATATAAATATTTTTTAGATTATGATTTGTAAGCATGCAGCATCATAAATGTATATCAGGGGCGGATCCAAAGGTTAGCCCAGTTGGCCTGTGCACCTCCCCAACCAAAATTTAAATAAAGAATTGAAAATATAAAGAAAATTACGTTCAAATTAATGTCTGAGTGCCAGTTTTCAGATTCAGATTTTTCTTTGTGTCCTTTGGGAAAATCAGTTTGTACATCACATTGCCAAAAAAAGAGTGCAAAATTAATACAAAATAAAGAACAAAAAATAATTAGGCCCTTGATATTATGGAAAACTCATTTTTCCATCTGGAGGTACTGTAGCCAAACCATAGTGTGGTGATGTGTTCTTTTCCCCTTCATCTGTAGAAGCCTGTATCTTCTTTGAATTCCTGGATCCGCCCTGCATGTCGGTACTTTGTTGGTTTTTATGTTCGCAGATTTTAAGCGATTCCTTCTTCAAGTTTGACCGATAAGTTAGTTTTGATATACAGTGTAGCTGTTTTTAAAATACAAAATAGTTTTCTAGATTTATACTAAACTTGTTGTAAGTGTTTGTATGCATAACTATGAATTGTAAAGTTAGTAACAATTATGCAATAAAGCGAAATTTTTATAGAATTTTCGTTGGTGAAAAAACTTAATTTATAATGTTTAACCGTGGTTTAACTGAACTTACAAAACTTTGGTTCATCATTTGAAACTTGAATTCTAAATATTCGAGAGGTGTACATACATTTCTAATCACAATTTAAAACAACAAAATGAATTGTTTTCTTGTTTTTTCTTTATTTAGTATTGTTATTTATTATTGGTATTGTTTTTATTTTTGATATTTATATTAATATGTATTTAGTTATTAATATGGTGTGTATTTTTTCTGTTGTAAAGATAGTTTATGATTGGAGTGAAGATC